GAAGAAGAGAAGATCAGTGAGTGCTAAAAAGCCAAAGAACACAGAAAACTAAGAGAGAATATCTAGCCCATCATCCTTTGTAAGTGGACCGCGAGTCGCCAAGTTACTAGAGGCATTTCGCCAACCGATGAATGTATTAATCCAACGAGCAAGAAGCTCCATTGATAGTGGACGTAGCTTTAGTCTTCCGGTTAAGGTGAATCACTTATATTCCTATTCTAACTAACCATAAATCGATAATCTGCAAAACCATTCTCACAACATCATCCCATCTTAATTGGGCTTGGGCCCTAAAATTCGAGCACCATTAGAACAAATGGATTTATCAAATCCCATCAAGTTGAAGATTATCTAGGCGATATAAATAAATTAAATATAAATCTATGTTTATACAATTTTAAAATGTCAATATACTTTAAAAATATTTATTTTTCTTTTTTACCCCCAAATAATAGTTTTAGGACATTTTTATCAAATATTAAAAGGTGATAAAAATTATGTAATCTTCAATAATAACCTTTAAAAATGCATAATGACTTCATTAAATTAAAATCAGTAATCTTATACTGACCAAATTTTGAGACCAAATTTAGAGTCAAATAATATAACAACTGACTATTTGAAGTTTTTTGTTGAGACCTAAAGGACATGACACCAAATAAAGAATTTCAGGTCAGCTACCATATCATTTGGTCTCAAAATTTGATAAATGTAACATTATTCAATTAAAATTTTCATATTTCCATTTAATCACAATGATGAAGGAAACTTTTGGACTTTTACATCAATATGTGTGTGGTCTTGTTGATTGGCTCAAATGTTCAGTCCTAGGTTACATTTATAGCTGCCGAAAATATTTATAATTGGTAGATAAACAGGCCATCATACGGTCTTTACATAGTGAATATTTTTGTTACCCTCTATAACGCCAACCATTTTATCTTCCATGGCGTAATTAACTGTTCATAGACAGCCAAGGAACATTTTAATGAATGAAAAGTTTCATGAATGTTCAATCTGAAAATTCAAAACGTCGCTCGGGAACAAATGAAAACTGAATCTCCTCATTTGTTGTTTTGGTTATTGAAAGTTCACATTCATGTTTGCGATCCAGCTTCACAATGTGGGTCACCACCCTTATTATTGGACCTTAAGGTGCGAGTTCAAGTCTCATCGTCTCAATTCTTGTAATAGTGTCTGGCCCAAAAAAAAGAAAAGATGGGACGTGGATTTATCCCAATTCTCAATACCATGAAATTTATTCACATTTCAAAACACACAGACAGACATTGGATTGCCATTCACCTATTACAAATACCAATAATCAATATGAAGAAATGCCACCTGTGTTGTATAGGTAGTTAGTCCTTGGTTGGAGGCGAACTGGCTGGACCATGTTTGTTTGTGTTTCTAACATTTTCTTACTTTATGTCACTTAAAATGGATATTCTAGAAATCTGTTATATATGATGGAGATGTTTAATTTCATTTGAATCTATTATGGTAACATATGCAAGTGTAGTTTTATCTTCGTTTATACCAAACACAAAAATACATCTTTCTTGGTACATTACTTTGAAGTTCATTATACATAAGTGAAACTCTCATTCATTAATAATGGATAATTTATTAAAAAATATTAGATATGATCCTTATCCAAACAAGTTGACAGAGATCCATAAAAACTAATGTAGGATTATTGAAACAGACACAATCCCAGACTTCTCTCTCCTCTCCTCAATAGGGATTTAGATCCTCTCCATTATCCTTTCCTTTTAATTCTCTTAAATACAATGTTAGATGAGTGACACGTGTAAAATTTTAAATTTTAATGAATAAAATTTTTTTCTTGAAATTTAAAATTTTACGTGTCATTCATCTAACACTGTATTAAGAGAAATTGAAGAAAATGAATAATGGAGGAGGTCTAAATCCAATAAATAGACAGTTGCTGCCACCACCAAGAGGAGTAATTCTCTCACCAACTTCATAGATTATTCATATCGATGGAAAGTTCCCTCACACCAAAGATGCAAACATTTGATAAACACCGAGACAAAACAATGAATGTGAAGGCCCATTTTAGCTATGATTTTAGAAGTTATTATCTCGAAATATAAATTCAAGTATCATCATAGCTGTTGGATTTGGTAGGTCTTCATTGACTTCTACCCTTATACTTTTATATATGTTCCTAAAAGGTGTGCACCTCCATATGGATGGGAGTGGGGCCGGCCTCCCACTCCCTTATGCAGTATTTATTAGTTTGGTTGGGTTCGGTGAATCATGCAAAAAGTCTCTCTAGGCCCTCCTTTAAATTATGCACCTAATGCATATTGATAATTTATTGTGATTAGATGTATCCCGAATTTATTTAACAACATTAAATTTTGAAAAAGGTACATGGCACGATGATTAAAAAGATCATGCTGATGGGATTCCAAATATTCAAAAAACGGAAACGTCATTCAAATTCCCCTTGACAACCAAATTACAATTCTAGCGACAATTATTCAAAACGATTGAAATAAGTAAACTTGAAAACCCGAGTCTGACTTTTTTAAAAGTTAATGGCTAACGAATTGGCTTTTCTTTTTGGTTAAAATACATTTTTTTGTCCTTAAAGTATGCATGTAATGTTAATTTAGTTCTCAATCTTTCAATCGTGTCTATTTGGTCCTTAAAATTCTTAACTTTTATCTACAAATCCAATCTCAATCGTCTATTAGAAAATCGTGACAATGTTGGTCACCCGCCAATCAAATAGTTCCTAATTTTGTATTTATTTGATTTCTAAAATTACTAATTTGTGTGTATTTAATTCCATGTGATTGGTGCATAACCAAAGATGTCAACAATTTTTTGACAGACGTTTGGAATTAGAGCACATAATACAAATTAAGAATTTTAGGAACCAAATATACACAATTGAAAAATTAGGGATCAAATAGACACTATATACATACTTTAGGGACTAAAAATATATTTTACCTTTTCTTTTTTGTAAACCATATCAGACATGAAACTTTATAATATATATCAATTTTATTTAATGATTTGTCCCAATCCAATGGTGTATTCATTTGAATATGAATTTTACTTAAATTTGTGATAAATGAAATACATGGGGTAATCTATTACTTTTTTCTTCATTTAGAAATTACCATTTTCTTACTTTTTTTTTTGTTACAAAGAATCGAGATTGCAACTAGGGATGTCAATGGACCAAAGCGGGAGAGGGGGTATGGTCTTTATCCCCGTACCCGCTTAAAAAATATTCTTCCATCTTCGGTCCACTCCCATTAACAGGTATAATTTTCATCTTCATCCCTGTTCGCGAGTAAATTTTTAATTCTCGTCCCCGTCCCCTCTTCCCCTGTACCCGCCCAAGCCCAAGTTCAAATTAATATAATTTAAAATTCTAAATAAATCTAACATTTAAATAATCCAACAACATTTTACCCCTTTTTATTTCATAAAACTATGTTATTCATTTCTCTTTTTATGTATAGACACACTGCATTCTTTATAGTGACTGGAGATGAGTTGAAGAATCAAAACTAAGGAGTTCCCTGTAAGTATAGAGCCAGTAAACCAGCATCAGTGTAAAATTGTAACAATTTTTTTCATTTGATTTCATATGACAAAAAACCATCAAAATATCATTCTTGAATAAAGCTCATAGCTCTTACAGTGTGTAAATATTTACATAAATCCTGAAATGTCATAAATCTTGGAACTTTAGTTTCTTAACTTATCATTTTTTTGCATTTTTATTTCAATAATATGTTTCTTAGAGGATTGATGACACGTAATCAATTACCAGCCATGGATATCTAAATTGACTCCAAGTCAGTTACCTAGTAGAACCAATGAAATAAAAAATTGTGATAAGTAGCTGTGTGCATGTTGCTCGAATGACAATTGCACCACAGAAGTCATACCAAAAGTACAAATGGATTTAAATTTCTATTGTGATGCCCCAGAACCATTTTTTTGGCTTTCTTTTTCTTTTTAGTTTTAAAAAGCCTGATATTATCCATATTGTTCAATGAAGTTAGGGATTGTTGCTAATGTTTGCACTTATTACCTCTGGTAGTGTATATTACCTATTTGAATATATATATATATAACAAGTAACGGGGCGGGGCGGGGATAAGAGTAAGTCCATCCCCGCCTTCATTTCTGCACGGGTTTATACGGGTATCCTCATATACGTCCACCGTCCAATACGTATAGTCTATCCCTGATCCAAACAGGATAGATTTTGACAAATACATGTTCTTCCTTAGTCCGCTATCATCCTTAGTTGCAACAACTACTCTCTTGAATTCAGCGGTCGACTACCTACCATTTTCGTCCTTGATTTAAAAAGTAAAACCCATTTGAATGGTGGACTTGACTATGGTACGACAAAAAAAAAAAATTTGGATGTCTGCTACTTTTTTTGGTACAATTACAGTGATAAAAATACTCAAAATAATGATAAAAAAATTCATAATTATGATAAATAAATCTATAATACCGATTATTTTTTAAGTACCATAGACAACTCCTTTAATGGTTACGTTGTGACCACATTTGTTTGTTGGAGTAATGATGGAGCGATTGTTTTCTTCTGGGAAAGATATTAACGGACAAAATAATTATGTTGTTTATTTCAATCAAGTTTTTAAATTATATTTTGCATTAATTTAGCCCATAAATTATATAATTTAACTCAATGTGACTCTTTCGTCCAAATTCATCGTTAACTTACAAAAATTTTTATAAACAAGTGTGTCACTCATACTTTTAGAATGTCCAATCATTAAAGGAAAAAAAAAAAGACTTGTAAAACAAGGAAACAAAACATAAAAAAAAAAAAACCAAAATGAATTTATTCAGACCAGTCACAAGGTCCATTACCGTTAATAGTCCTTCAGTTATGAAACATCAAACAAAGAATAAAAAGTTAAATGATGGCTGGCCTGCAATAATGAAATTGATGAAGCTTTGTTTCACCCCTGTAGAAGTGGCTCCTTATTTTCATCCCACATATCCAATCTCTTCAAAGATAATTCAACCTGCAGTTTTAATTTGAATCACATACAATAGTACAAAAGGCACATCCATGTAGGTTTGTCATAAGGGCTGATAATTGACCCAAGTTATTTGTGCTCGATTAGGATAAGACTCAACTTGAATTCAAGCTGAACTTGAATAATTTTTTAAACTCATTTAGAAAACGAGCTTTCAAAGTTCAAATCGTTTATATATAAAAGAGTCAAGTTAGTCGGATTTTGGCTTGAGTTCGGCTTGTTTTGGGTTCGGTTCATTTTCTAAATAAACTCGACAAACGCTACTCGATTATCAGTCCTACTTGTCACTAAATTGAATTTTGTATTATTAAAATCTGATTTAATAAATTGGACACAAACACTTTTCAAATCTGAATTCAATTAAAACTAAACATACAATCCGAAAATAAGATCAACTCAATGGAGTTGAAATTTAGCAAATCGTGTCGGTTTTTCAATGAAATTTCATCAAATAACAACATATTTTTTAGCATATTTTTATATTAGTATACACAAATTTGAATCCTTGAAGTATAATATAATAAATTTAAATTGATAAAAATCTATCAAAGTATCAATTGATATCCGACTAATTAAAATTGTGGGTATGCATCTCGTTCATGGCGATTATTGGTTTATGAGAAAAAAATAAAATATAATTAAAGCAGACTTAATTACCTCTGTATTCCAATCAGTCCGATAAGTGGTCCATACTAGTATCACGGTTTGGACCAATGTGCCACCGAGCATCCCCGACCATATTCCCTACAACCATCACAAATAATTATTACCATATATATTTTTTTAATTATTCTCAAGAATTAAAATTTTATTTTATTTTAATTAATATGGAATTTTTTTTTGGTTTTCATCAAAACCAAACGCTCAATGACTAAATATAGATAATCTTATAGTTCAATGTGTATAGATAGTGGTGCTCAGGATGTTTGGATATTTCTAAAATAAACTCTAAAATTTTCTCTATTTTCAAAATACTTTGCAAACAATATTAAAACATTTTTGTTTTTAAAGTAATCAAAATTATCATACCAAAATAAAGTTTTGCTCCTTGATTGTAGCGATAAAGATTTGCATAATACATTTTTGGAAAATTTAATTTGTTCTCCTCCAATACATTTGTCTTAAATTTTGATTTCAATGATAAATTGTCAATGGTGAATTTAGTAGGACCCAATGTGCATCTTACTAATATATCATGTGATATATCTTTTTTTGGTAAGTAACACATGAAGAAATCGAAGATAAATTACACTAGAGGGAATTCAAATTTAATTTAGTTCCCCCTCTAATATATTTTTTTTTAATTTATTTTTAGATGAATCACCGTTTATCAATGAATGTGGGGTCCACTTATATTTAATGGGTCCTACTTAATGTGCCATAGGTGATCCAGCAGGAATTTTATCGAAAGAAGGGATCTCTCTCTATCCGAAATTCCGAATTCTACAATTTGTCATTTGATACCCTCATGACTTATTGAAGTAACTAAGATATTATTAAATTACCTGAGCCCCCAATTTGAAGTAGAAACCGAGCAATGCACCTAGAGGAATTCCAACTACATAATAACATCCAACGTTCACATACGCAACGAAAGTTTGCCATCCACATCCAACAGCCACACCTTCAGGGAAGACCTCATGTTAATTGAAAGGGAAAGTAAGAGAAACTTCGTCCATGTCTTCTTGTAAAAACATGCATGCAATGGTGAATCTAGGGGACCGGCAGAGAAGATGGGACCATACACAAATGGACTGAATATGTATCCGAATCTAATTGACTTGAAATTCGCATATAATTTTTGTCATACATTGGAATCGGATATTGGCAAAATCACATGCCCACTAAACTATTGGCTTGAAAAACTTACCAGTCAAAACGGGTTGGATTCCATTGAGAACTATAGTGACAGCAAGAAGTGGGCACATATCTGAGACAGCATTAGCCACAATGTCACCTTCAGTGAAAAGATAGCTGATCTTATGGCGCAATGCGAGCACGACTATGGATGCGATTACGGATATGATGAAAGACGAAGTTGTCACGATTACGACAGAGAATGCTGCTGCCTTTGGATGTCCAGCTCCAAGCTCATTTCCCACTCTTACACTGCTCATAATACCCGATCGATATTTTAGGATTCAAATCTTCATTTTTTTTTATTCTCAGTGGATCACTCATAACATATTATTAAAGAGTAATGCTAGATAAACTTAAAAATTAGACTTGATAATCTTAACCATTAAATAGGTAGTGGGTCCTAATAAATGCTGAGACCCACAATAAAATTAATTGTTGAAATTATCAAGTCTAATTTTAAGTCCATTTAACATTGCTTTTTACTAAAAGACTCATTAATGTATAGTGAATTCTAATTGAGTTCATTGAAAATAATGAAAACAATAGAAAATTTTGTCACGAAAATCTCATTTCTCCTAATTAACCCCAAAAAGGGACTTGATTGTGGTACCAAATAAATAATTTTGGTACCGTACCTCAATTGTTTTTACTATTTTAATGGGTGTTTTTTATAATTTTGTGAGTTATTTTATAACCAAAAATTTTATGACCAAAAATTTTGTGACTTTTGTGAGTATTTTTATCATTCTTGTAGATGTTTTTATCACATTTATGGTAACTATTTTTATTACTTTTTTTTGCTAAAATATATTTTACCACATTTGTGGGTATTTTTACAATACTTGTAGGTATTTTTACTATATTTTTGAATATTTTTACCATTGTTGGAATTACCATTTTTTAAGATAACATAACAGTGAAATATATGGTAACAGTAACTACAAATATGATAAATTGAACTACAGTACCATTTTTTTTTTTTTTTTGGGTACCATAGTCAAATCCCCTAACAAGAAGTGTATGCCATACATTTTTGTACACTGCATACAAGCATTTGTAACCCACTAATAACTGATAGGGCTATCTATAGTCCTCGTTGCTTACCAAATTTACTATAGTCTTTATATTGGTTGTAAGTCCTATCAAATTTCTAAATTTAGTGTTGATTCAATTATTTAAATAAAATTATATTATTATATTAATAAATTAAATTAAATTTTTAGATCTGAACAACATTACTCAAAATATAAACGTGATAACTGACCTGGCCGCTGCATTGAACCCGACTGAGATCGTGAACACCCATCCCAAGACAGTTATACTGCAATTAGCCCCAAACAAAACATCAAGTTAGTGGAATTAACTTAACTATAGATTCCTCTGCCTACTTAGACTACAGTTATTGTCTGTGTAATTACAATAAATTAAGAAGATGTTTGTGGAATTAACTTAATTATAGATTCCTTTGCCTACTAGACTGCGGCTATTGTTGGTGAAAGTACAATAAATTAAGAAGAAGTTGGTGGAATTAACATAACTATAGATTCCTTTGCCTACTAGACTATGGTTATTGTCGGTGTAATTACAATAAATTAAAGAAGTAACGGACAAAGTAAGAAAACTTTAAGAAGTGGCAAGTGACTCTGTCGTAACCATGTTATAGTCATTAGTCTTTTGAAAGAAGTTGGTACGAATGATTCCTTGACTCCTTGAGTTTGCTCAATCGAGGACGACTTCAATAACTTTCTCATATCATACCAAAAGCTTTAATATTTTAAAGTTAAATTACCACTTTTTTAAGTTCTAAATTACAAACAATTTTAAACTGGTGTTTTTTAACTTATAATTTAAATTTTAACGTTGATATTAACCAAAGGTAGAAAAAAAAAATTTCTTACCAAACAGAGAGAGAATCGAGAGCAATCTCAGGGTTATCAAGCATTCCAGCCAACAAAACAATAATCTGAAAATACCAACTCTCCAAACAAAGCATCACAGCAGAAGCAGCGGACAATTTGAAGAAATCCCAAAGCCCATGAAAAGCTTGTATACTAAACCCTGCCCAAGTGTCCTTACACCTCTCACTAGTCACAATATATAAAAACTGAGCTATAACTATCACCCACCAAGACAAACTCAACATCAAAGAAGCACCGAAAAGCCCCAACTTAATCTTGTAAACCACAACCCAACTGAGTATGACATGGAAAATAGTGGTGGCTGTGGATATATATGTACTTGGAGAGACTATGCTTTGAGATTGAAGAAACTTTTGGATTGGGAAGTTTAAAGCGTATGCGAAAATTTGAGGGATTAAGCCGAAGGTGAATAGAGCTGAGGCTGATGCGATTTCTTCTGATTCACCAAGTAGTATGAGGATTGGTTTTGAGAATATGTAAACGAACATGATTACGACACCAGCTAGATTGAGGAGGACTGCTGATCTTTGGGTGTAAATTCCAAGCATTTCGTATTTTTGTGCCCCATATGCTTGGCCACAAAGGGTTTCCACCGCACTTCCCATTCCAAGCTGTACATCTCAGGTTAAAACAAGTTAATCGAACGAATAACAATGTGTTTATGTTTGTGTTTGTGTTTTTGTTTGTGAGTGTGTGTGTGTGTGTGTGAGAGAGAGAGAGAGAGTGAGAGAAGGCAAAAGTACCATGAGACCGAAGCAGAACATTTGAATGCCATTGTTACCAAGAGAGGCAGCGGCGAGCTCAAGGTTGCCGAGGTGGCCGGAAAAGATTTGGGTGAACGTGGACATGAGGAAGTTTATCAAGTACACGGCGATGGCGGGGGCGGCGAGGGGGAAGAGGAGTCTACATTCTATCCATGTCGCCGCCACAATGCGCTGAAGAAATGGTAGATCGGTGTTGGACAACAATCTCTCAAGTTGGACACTATACTTATACTGTCTCTCTTCTGCAGTTTTTGGTTTGGGTGCCAAGGTTGGGGAGTCTACAGTGCTGCTCAATAGCAGTGTTTGATCTCCGCCATTTCCGGCCGATCCCATTTTGGGTTCACCACCGTTCGATTGAGAAAACGAAGACGGCGGTGGTACGGGGATGTTGGCGGTAGTTGTGGAATCAAAGGAGCCTTGTGGAAGCCTCGAGTTCAACAATACATGGGCTACTATAAAAAGAGGAGGTAAGCTATGTATGGTGAAAAAATAATATATCGTCTTTACGAACTAAAATAATATTATTTAAACTTAAAAAGTAGTAGCAAAAGGCGACATTTAAGTAGAATTTAAAATTTAACTTACAACTTGGGATAGATTCGTAAACAAGATTATTATATTTGAATTTAATACAAGTAGATTAAGGTAGTAAATGAATACACCTTTTAGACTTTTTAATAGTTGAAATTATACCATTTCCTAAATATGACTAATACACGATACAAATTCAGACAAGAGAAAATCAACTATTTAGTTCGCTTTTAATTTAATGATTGTATTGAATTCAAATAATATTATTTGGACATAATTTATTAATCTAATTCACTATGACATTTGGATTAATTGTGGGCCTTATTAAAAATTAGAACTTGATATTGATCTAATATTTTTAATAAAATCTCATCATTAGATCAACAAAGTAGATTAAATTTTTAGATCTCAATAACATTACTCATTAAATTAGGTCACCAAATTAAGTTTAAATAATATAAATAGTTTAAAAAATTGATCTAATTTATTAATATAATAATATGTCAAGTGCTAGAATTTTAGTGAAAAAGTCCACAAGCAAAAAATCACATATTTAAATCTGTCGACTAAATCAAAATTTTAATTTATAATGGCATTACTCTTCAAATATACATTTAAATGAAACGCGTGCGTATACTAAACATGTGGTGGAACATGGGTCACTAATTAGGTTGTCAATTTCACACCCAATCACAACTATTTTTGGGATGAATAATGCTATTGAAATTTAATTTATTGACTTTATTGCTAACATAATTCACTATAACTTTTAGATTGATTGTGGATTTCATCAAACATTAGAATTTATTGTTGATCAAATGATTTAAATGAAACCACATCATTAAGTCAACAAATTAAATTAAATTTTTAGACCTAAATAATATTACTCTTTTGGGATTAGTTAGAACATGAGCAAAAGGACTTGAATTCTAAAGGGGTGTCGATGGTTGGATTAGTAGGATTTATTATTTTTTATCAAATATTTAATACATAAAATTTTGACTTGAATCATACGATACCTCTACACACCCCCACGCTCTCAAGTTTTGTGTCACTTCGTGCTTTGAAAATGAATTTGTCATAAATTTATTTAAATAAATCAAGAATTCTAATAAAGAACAATAAAAAAAAAATATTTTAACAAATTTTTGTAATTCATTTCTTTGCTTTCAGCTGTATTTAATTCGGTCAGAGAAATTTGTAGCTAGACGCCCACGTGAAAAAGCCACGCCACAAGTGTGAAATAAGTGAGGAGAGGACCACTGCCTTTTTTATAAGCATGTGTAGCTTTCCATTTTTCTTCTTTTGTCCATTGAAAAAAAGGCATTGCAATGTCTCAATGCTTTCTCTTTCCCTTTTTTTTTTCTTTCTTTCTTTTTGTTTTTTTTTTGAACTGATTTCTTCACTTTTTTTTTTGAAATAATTTTTTTATTTACTCATTTATCATATATTTGTATTATTTTTTTATCGAATTCAAATTTGAACATATTAAAATTCAATTCAGATCCAATCTGTTGATGACCTACCTATTCCCTCACATACGTGTATTAAGTCTAATTTAGACAACCCTCACCCACCACAAATGTCATCTTCTTTTGTCCTTTTAATGCAAATAATTTATTCATTTACGGGTCCGACTAGGGTACCGACATCCATTTTTCGGTATGGTACCAAAAAAATAAAATGAATGACAGATATATAACGAAGAACTTGCACCGTTAATCAAGTCTATTACTTTTTACCGGTAACCCACTAAGCCTTAAAAAAAAAACTCAAACGAAGAAAAAGAATATGAAGTTGCAGAATTGTTTTTATATTCCCATGAACACTTTAAAAGATTATAAAATCATCATCATTTATTAAAACTAAGATTGAATGATAGTCTTTTCATTAAAAAAAAAACTCAGACAGGAAAGAAAAAAGAGAAAAATCAAAGTATGAGTTGAAGAATTGTTTTTATCCCTATGAGATTATAAAATCATCATCATCATCATTTATTAGAACTAAGATTGAGATTACAGTAAATTCATTAAAAAAAACCTTAGACGACGAAGAAGAAAGAGAAAGAAGAATATGGAGTTGTAAAATTATTTTTATCCCTATGAATAAAGAGATTTTAAATCATCATCATTTATTAAAACTAATGTTGAGATTATAGTAAGCTTATATTTAAAAATAAATAAATACACTTTTTTTATTAACATTACTACTCTTTTAGTTAATATTACCACTTTTTGGTTAACATTATAATTTGTTTGATTAAGATTACTACTTTTTTTGGGTTAAGATTACAATATTTTTGGGTGTAACATTATCACTTTTATTTGATAAGAATACCACATTTTTTATAAGATTACCCATTATTTGAAGCAAGATTATCACTTTATTGGGTAATATTATCATTTTTTAGGGATGATAACTACTTTTGAGGAAAAAATTACTAATTTTTTTGGTAACATTACCAGTTTTTGGGTTAGAATACAATTTGCTTGGACTTAGAATACAAATTTGTTGGGTGTAACATTATCACTTTTATTTTGTAAGAATACCACTTTTTTAGTCAGATTACCCATTATTTGATGCAAGATTACCACTTTTTTTATTAACATTACTATTTTTTTGGGTTAAAATACTACTTGCTTTACTTAGAATACAACTTTTTTGGGTGTAAGGTCTTGCTCATTTTGTGTATAAAGAGGGTGTAAGAATACGAACTTTTTAGTGTATTTTTAGAGGTAAAATTACTGTAAGAATTTATAATCTTACTATTAAATTACCACAACCATTACCATGCTCATTTTATGCATAAAGAACAAAGATATTTTAGATTTTTGACAAAAATATATCATATTGCATTAATTTGTTTCATCACATTTTACTATGGCTAGTTCAACTATTGTATCAAAAACCAACAATTACAACTACGTATAATTGTCACTTCTTAGCTATTTCTTTGCTTTTTCATAAAAAAAGACTCAATTTTATCCAACCTACTATTTATACCCTTCAGAGACTCCTTTATTTCATTATGACTATTTTCAAATTCCTTCATCTTTCTACCCAATCGTACCAGCAACATTCCATATATATGCAATGGATCAGGAGGAGGAGGAAGACCAGCTGTGGAAGAATTTGGGACATCCTAGGCTTGGGCTTCATCATCCTCAACTTCAACTTTATTCTCGATTTCAACTTGAGGCTGTTGTGGCTGTTGAGTTTTATTCTTCCTCCCTTGCCCCAAACTCTTTTTTATTGTCCCACCATAAATTGGATTCATGGGAGTGGAATAAGTGTCGCTTGAATGAATCACAACTCCACAACCTTCCATAATCTTTGAAATCAAAATTGGGAATGGGAGACATCGCCGCCTATCCTTCATACGTTGTACCGAAATAATTTCATCAACTATTAAATAAGATAAATCTATAAATATACTCTTTCCAATGGCATACAAGAGATGAGTTCGATTAAGTCCAAAATTAGCAGTATGTCTTCTTGGTATAATATTGTACTCCACTATAAGGTTTAACATCCTATATTTGGGAATAAGGTCTTACTGAAAAAATTTTGAATTCTCAACACTCTCACTTAAATTATTAGGTATACCCTCAATTTCTTTATAAACATCTTTCAACTTCGATATGTCCTTAAAATTCTTGAATGGATAGATATGTGTATCGTTAGGAATGAAGGATTGGCAAACTTCAAATATTTTTGAAACTAACTCTGGGGTTACCTCAAAACTACATTCCTCATAAGGGAATTAAACTTGTGATCAACTTTATCAATATTATGCATGTTAGAATAAAATATATTCACCAATGTATTATATGTTTTATCTGTCTTCTTGATATCAACTGCAGAATTCCATTGATGTAAAGAAAAAATAACATCACATCCTAACCTCTTTTAATTGATTCAGTAAAACACTCATCTCCAATAACAAAAGCCTATAATAAAAGCAGTTCTCATACCATTGTTTGTTATTTTTGTTGAAGAAAGATATGTTTTCATTTCAAATGGGGTTGGATGAACTTGATGGATTGAGTGTAGAGTTGGATAAATTTGATGTATTGAAGGAGGGATCAACTAGATTGGTTGAGGTGGGATCAATTGGATTAGTGGAGGTGGGATCATTGGAGGACAGATCAATGGAAGGAGGATGATTACATTTCTTCTTCAAGGAGGGACTAGAGGGAGGATCATTACAACTCTTTTTCCTCTTCATTTTTTCACTGGTATCCACAACTTTTGGCTTATACTTCTTTCTGTCAGTCATTCTGCTGTAACAAGAAAAAATTTAATAAAAAAAATAACAATAACACGGAATATTATCTATTACTTTTGAGTAATAGCAATTGATGGAAATGTGAGGAAGATATGATTGCATTACTTTTGAACCATCGCTCACCAAAGCCATAATTCGTTCAACCCCCAAAACACATCCCTTATGCAACTATGTCTACAAAAATTTTATGAAATTGAGAAAGAGGCAGAGACAACTATGTATACAAAAACATGATGAAAGAAACTTGTTTTTACTCTAATTAAACCAAAAAAAGAAAAGAAAACTACCGTAGAGGAGCCAAATTCTCACGACAATCACTGTACAATATACACCCAATGCACAAATTAGACAACCACGAGAGACAACTATGTAGTAGAACCCCAAGTTGCAGGCACCTTTCTCTCTCTTCTTTGACGGAGAAGCACAATGCAGGTTGTGTCAAAATTGGAGAAGCACGATGCAGGTTGTTTCAAAATTTTGACGCCCTTACTTGATTTAGGATTTTGGGTTTACAATTAGGTTGGATTTTCACCGATTTGGACTTAGATTTGGGGTTAGATCGCTAATTTAGGGTTTTGAAGAGTTGGATTTTTTGTTTCCTTTTAGTTTGGGGGAATAGAAGAAAAACAAGAAATGGAGCGATCTAACTTGGATCGCTCGAGCATTCATTTGCAAACCAATCTCGATCCCTAACAAATCTTGATCGCTCAAACTAGCGATCAAGATTTTAGCTGCCAATAAATTTCACTGATACCCGTAAATTATCACATTTTTTTCAATTTTTCCTCATATTTTTCATATCACAACCTCAACTATATAATTAGTTTCATATTACCCCAAATTTTTTTCCTATTTTAATTTAACACCAAAGGAGTACCAAATATGATAACTTTGTTATAATTTATTTAGCGTGAAAAACAAATGTTGAAATAATTTGAACTTAACCCAAAATATAACCCCAAAAATGGCAATTTTACCCAAAACATTGTGGCAATATAACTTACTATAACATTTTAGTAATAGCCAAAAAAAATGTGCTAAACTTTAGTTGTAATTTAGCTTTGGTGAGCTTAATAACCTAATCCTAACCTCTAATATTTTTAATTTAACCGTAAATTTAATGTCACTCAACAACCCTAAATATTGTAAAATTTACCTTATATTTTTATTTCAGGTTTTAATATGATAAATAATTATAATTTTTTAAAACTAATTTTATTATATTTTTATTTAGGTTTAAATAAGATAAATAATTATCATTTTTTAAAACTAATTTTAATTTCTCTTATCACTTATTTTTAAAAGTGTATTGCGATTTTATTTATTTTTAAAATATATATCGGTAAAACCGGTTATAGGTTTTGATAAATTTGAGAGTCTATAAATAGTGAGTCTACGTTTATTTTAATTTTTCGGTGTGGCACCGTTTTCACTTTTACGGATCGAAACCAACTCCTTCATTTATATATATAACACTTCAACTCAATTAGTACAATCAAGTGGAACACGACGACAGCTGTTAACTCATTGGGTGGTGTTGATGGGCGTTTGGATCATAATTCACTGGAAAAAAAAAACACCCTAAATAGTTGAACGTGGTTAAAGAGAGGAACAATGTTATATAAACTTAAAAATTAAATTTAATAATTATAATTATTAATTTTATTGTGAATTTCAATATTTATTGGGATCTATTATCTATTCAATAATTGAGATTATTAACTCTAATTTTTAAATTTATTTAACATTATTCTAAAAGAAAAAATTAAAAATTGTCATAAATGATCATAAAAAGACGGTTTCAGTACGGTGGGAGAAAAAATTATGAGTAATTATTATAGACAATTAATAAATAATAGAGTTAGTTTACTGCCATTACATTCCGGGTGGATATGGGACCTAGTTTAGCAGTCATGATTGATTCCTTTCGACAAAGAGAGTAAGAAATCAATTTGATCTGTTACTCTCTTTACTTAAGAGAATCAATAAGAGTAATATTATACAGATTTAAAATTTTGAATTGAGGATGTAGTTATAATATTTTTTTATTGATTTAATCGTAAATCATAGTATTTATTATGACTCATTATCTGAGTAAATATTGAATATAACGGTGATACCATGTTATCATTGATGACATTATATCACTAACTAATAATAAAATTTCAAATGAAAAAGGTGAATCTCATTTAAACTTACATAGTAGAAGAGTATAGAGTTATTTGCTTACATAACATGTTATTCATGGATTTTTGTGGTGTCTATCTGTTTATTTATTTTATTATTATAAGTTGGTGATACCATGTCACCTTATCACGTGATATTTTTTTTTTTGGGTACAACAAAAAATTCAAAACATATCAAAATCCTCTAATATAGGCAATACTAACAATATCGTTTCTCAAAAACTCTCCCATTAAGCAAGGTGGGGAGTTGAGGATCACTAAGTTGTCATTTAGAATGACACCCAAATTTGAAAGTTTGTCTGCTGAAATTTCCTTCTCTTTTTGTGTGCAGGATGGGACAATTGAGGAGAGTGAGGAGCTTTTTGCATTCAAAAATGATTCCTCTTGCTAAGTGTCACAGTTGTTTGTAATGAATATTTTATCTCACTATCTTTTTAATAATAGTGATTTATGAAGTCAAAATTTTAAAATAATTTTTTAAATCTATTTTGAGACATAATCATTATGTCTCAAAAGTATGTTTTAATAACATAGCTCGAGATCAATTAATGGTCAATTGCCATGTGTTAATTCTCACGTTCTCCCTTTTGGAACCTGTTGTGCTCCTTTGTCGAACTTTTCTTTTTGGTCTTGTATGGTGTTTTTTCTTCATTTATTAATATATTATTGTAACTTATAATAGTCGATGGTTTTTGTAACAGTGATTTACCATTGTATATAAAACAATTTACAATATATATTGGTAATCTACCATTGCAAACAAAAAAAAAAATTTGTAGAAAGAAAAGAGTAATTATGTATTCATAAAAAATTTACAAACTTTTTGATCTGCCTTCTTGGGTATTTACAAAGGTAAGTCAGAGATCGAAAAAACTTCAGAGATCGAAAAAACTTCAGAGATCAACCTTTCAATTATAAAGTCAAAACAGAACGGTTGAGGAATGAGAGAAAACTTGTGTTAGCGTTTGATTCACTTACTTCTATCTCCTTCGTGGATTCCCTTCTTATAGGCTATTTGGTTAGGCTGTCAGCAGATCTTGATCCACCTATTTGAACTAAATATGTTTGTGTTCCACTTGCTTGACCTTGTTTTACTAGTTAAGTGAAAGTGGTAGTTGAGTTGAACTAGTCGAAGTCTTTATAGGACAAGACTCTGCCCAACTTCCAGGACTGAGGGATGGTTAACTGCCGAGCCAAAGCCAATTCGAGCTATCGAGCTCTTCAATCAGAGCACGTGTCTTTTTCCTCTTATCACTTATAAATAAGGCTTAGTATCATGCAATTAGTTACCAACTTGTCTGTTAATAATGTATCAATGTAACTTTTTGGTCCATATATATAAGTACAGTGTATCGACATGGTTATACTGTATTAAATCACGATATATATTTGTGTTTTATTTTCCTATTTTTCTTATCTTGAATTATTATCTTTCAATTTATAATATCAATGTTAATTAATCGTTGCGCAAAATTTTAAAAAAAAAATTGTATCAAAGCTATTTAGTGTGTCGATTTTAAATAGGGTTCTTCAAGATTTGACTCTAGGAATTGTAGTTATATTAAGACAATGGTTTGAAATATACTAATGTCTACATCTATCCAGTATTGATTTTGTGTCTCATGCGTTTACGGGTCACTGGGCTATTCCATAAGAGATTGGTAAAACAATTAACCATTGAATCCTCTTAGGAGCACGTAAGACGTAAGAAAAGATCCATATAGATGATTGTAGCAACACATAAGAGTAAATTTGTATCTTGTACTTGTAGATAATAGTGGATTAAAATCAAAAGTGAGTTAAATTCGACGTGTTTCACACATGTAGGAGAGTTTGTTGAAATGCCACATGTGAGAATATATCTGAATAGTTAAGGTTATAATATAGAGGTGAAGATGTATCTAAATAGGTTTGAGTGAAAATATTTTATCTTTATAAATTAGATTAAGTATCACGCAATCAATTACTAATTTGTCAATTAGTAATACATCGATTTAAGGGCTGTTTGATAGACCTCTAAATACTGAAAATTAAAGAGATTCCGTAAAAAGTGGTATTGATAACAAAATCATGCGCCTCTTAATAAAATAAGTAGGTATGAAAAGTAAGCTACAATTTTAAGTAAACTAAAACATACTTAATTTTATCACTGAACACGAGTCTCCTTTAAAAAATTTTACTTGAATATTCACTAATTTTTGTAGACAGATTACGAGAAATTTATTATTCATGAATTCTTTAGTTTCGATGTGGATAGCGTACTTTCGAGTGGACTGAAAAGAGAATTAATCGAGATACACATAAATTAATCTAAACACTTTCTACCATTAAAAAAAAAAAAAAAACTTTTACTGCATGAGACAAAATTGCCCTCAAAAAGTTCCTCTCCACCATTAAGTCACCCACAAGGCTAGTCTCTTCTCCGAGGCTCTCCTCTGCAACTCTCTCTATCTTTTTCTCTCATGCAAAAAGTTACCTTTTCTCTCTCTTTTTCAAGGGATTGCTTTACAGAGAACAAGACATTAAAGAATCTTTTTTTTGTTCTTTCCATAACAGGTAATGGCAGCATCTTCTATTCCCCACCTTTGAAATTCACCAAATAGGGTATGCAATCAATTGTGGTGGGTCATGTGTAGAAAGTAGTAACAAATATCACAAAATATTTTCCTGGTCAAAGATTTTGAGGCTTACCAGTCTCGATTCGGCGGTCCTAATGTTGTTGTCTTATTCTCGTTTCACTCGTTTTTTACATTATTATTATTTTTTTTTTGGGTCAAGGTCAAATTATCATAAAGATGAAGATTTCTTTTTGGGTTAGTTGTTAATTATATTGATTTTTTAAGAAAGAAATTCATTCAAAGTTGTATTATTAGGGTTATAGGCTAATTTTCTTGGTACATTAATATATATATTTAATAAAGAAACCCAACGTAAAAAGTTGAATGGTAAAATTGAAAAAATAATAATTTTTTATATTTCAACTTCTTATATTTATTAAATAATTTGATTCAATTCACTACTTAAATTTCAGTAAAAATGAAACTGT